AAAATAGAAATTCAAAAGCAAAAAACTTGCACAAATACCCAAGCATTAATCCCAATTTAATTAGCAAACTCTGGATTCTTTTGAGCTACACCCCAAATCCCCAATTCCCTGAGCCATAGCTCTGTTCATAGCTCAGATCTGCCCATACAAGAAATCTCAACTATTCTCAAGCAGAAATAGACTAGCAGACAAGAACCCACAAATAGCAAACAAATTTACTTAGAAATGGAGCTTCATGACTCGAAAATGGAAATTCAAAAGCAAAAAACTTACTTGTGAGGTTGTTGGAATAGACCAATCAAATTCTTTCTCACGATCGCTTAACTGAAGCAGCAGCATCACCAGTCTTGGAGTCAACTTTTATAAGCAGGCTACTTTTATGTTTTCCTCCTTTTCTTTCCTTACTTATGAGATTGTGTAGGAGTTCAGTTTGCAATGGTATTTCTGTAATTAAAAGTAAACCTTTTTTATTATTATTATTATTTAACTATATTAATTAAAAAACAATATATATATATATACATATATATATATATATATATATATATGACCTTAAAGCCCAAAATTAGTTTCGTTTTGTACGGCATATAGAGAGTTTTAACTTTGATTAGTAAACTAGCTGGAGCGAATCTTTTATTCAGTAGAAGTCTTTGACATTTTAGGTTTAGAGAGATTTTTCTTGGTGGAAGGAGTGGTTTTCATTTTCCTCTTTTTTTTTTCTTTTTTTTGAAGGAAAAAAAATATTTCGGCCATGAAAAGAAATCGAATGAATTAACAAGGACTGTCCACCATTGCTTACCTGCAATGTAATATTACTGATTGTTCCAACTTTAGTTAATGGACTCCTTCTATGTGTTTTCATTTCTTCCTTTCACTCAACAGTAAATCCCTGTTAAAAATTGTGCAATAACATTGCAATCCAATTGAGGTATCATATGAAATTCTAATTGAGTACGGTTTGCCTCTCTCATCCTTGGATTTTTCCTTTTTCTTTTTTGACAAATTTTATACGGTCTATTCTTAAAAGTTCGATTATCGTATTTCTTTATGTATTACAAAGAAATTGTTTCTTGTAGAAGCTCATTACAACTTTCTTGTAGAAGCTCATTACAAAGTCTCTTATATGCATTACAAAGTTTCTTGTACAATCATAGCTGTGCCTTGATCTCAATTGCAAATTCGAGGGTCATTAAAATTTAGATGAAAGACCAGGGGTACTTACTTTCAAAATTTAGGCTGCTTAACATAAGTTGCAGTAATCTCATGATAAACTGAGTATTAAAATAGGGGCATTGTTGGTGTCAGATCATTTTAATATGCTGAAAGCATGTTCCATTCCAGCCACTTAAGCTTAAAAATGCAAACCTTGACATTGAAAAATCTACATAATAGGGCAGGACTTTACACTTTTTCTCATATATGGCAAAAAAAACCATAGAATAGCAAGAAGAAAATGTTTGCACTTCCCGTTGATGAGATTAAAGTGGAATGTGAAAACGTTTGTACAATAACTTATCAAAGAAATAAGGACCTGGCAACTAGAATGCAAGAAATAAGCATTAAAAAAAAACAAAAAAGAAAGGACATTCTTATCAAAGAATTGAACCACACTGTTTTTGTATTTTATTTAATTTGGTCAGATATTGAAATTCTACATAAAATTCAGACCTGGCATCATGTTGATTATAACAGAACTTTGAGCCTCTTCGAACCATCCTGCAGTGTAAAGCACTAGTTCAGCTTTCAGAGAGATTGCTAAAAACTTCAGCAGACACAGATTAATATCTGGCTTGAAATATCAATTAAGTGATTCACTTTAAGAGAAATAACGGTTGTGCTGGGCTAGTGAAGGTGATAATAATTTTGAAAAAGGGATTCTAAAGAGAGTCGATCGCGTTAAAAGGACAGAAATTTCCACGCTTCATGAAAAGAAATGTCCGTAGTAAAACCAAAGCAGAAGAATAAACTAAATCCAGTCCAAACTTCGAGAAAAAAAAATCAAACTAAGCACAACTGCACTACAAACCTGAACTTGTAGAAGTTCTTTTGTTCTTTTTTTTCCCCACAACAAGGAAAAGTTTCTGTTTTGCAACTTCAAAAGACTATACCAACAGCAAAACTTCACCAAAATCAGAATTTGGAGCACTTTTTTTTATTTATTTAATTCTGATAAACCATGGAAGGGCTGCATTAATAGCTTCAAGAGGCAAGTAAGATCACTTGAAGAGAAAATGTTACAAAAGATTTGGCAAAGGAAGCCAAAGAAAGCATTAAACATGAACTACAACAAAAATAGAGGATTAGCGACCTTTTTTAGCGAAGGTTTGAAAAATTGTTATTAAAAAACTAAAATTTACTAATTTGGATAAATTTTGGGTTTTTAACGGATTTTTCAGCTAAATACACGTAAATTCTTAAACATTTGCCGACGGTTTGGAAATCAAGGAAAAGTTTTGCGACAATAGAGCCAGGCTTAAAACAAGAACAAGGAAAAGTTTCTGTACTTGGAACAAAAACAAAGTATAGTTTTGCAGCAACTGAAGAATTAAATGCACCAAAACACAAAACTTACTAAATTATAGAGTGAGATCGCTGTTTGGTTCAACTCTAATTTTATAGGTTGCTCCATTTTGTCCATCTTCGTCCTTGGTCAGAAAGATTTTGTCTCAGACTACAAGACCCTTCTTACGCACGTACAACAACCAGTCTCCTATAATGACTGGTTTCCGATGACGACCCTACAGCATTTTGGCCTGAGGGTATCGGAATAGCTTCAAGGTTTTGGGTAGGATATGCCAATCGGCGTTTTATATCTGCAGCAAAAAAAGTCTTGTCTACGTACCAGCTTTACGTTGTTCAATCTTAACGCATGAAAGCGTTTCCAATTTCTTCCAACATAAGTATTTAAAAAATAGCATAAAAGTTAAAAGAGATAATTGGATGTTATTCCCATTGTGTGCCTAAGATCCATGTAAGCCAATGTGAAAACAAATGTTACTATTATCTTTCAATATTAAAAAGCTATTTTAATCCAAAAAGTTAGATTGCCAGGTTCATTGGTCACTTTTTATTTAAAATATATCATATTAGTTTTTAATTATTCCTTATCAATTATTATCAATTATTTAATTATTTTTTTTATTTTTACTAATATTTGATTTTTTTTTATTTATAGATATATTAAATATTTTTAAAAACTGTTTTTACGCCTTAAAATTATTTTTACAATAAATATTTCAATAATTTATCTTTATTTTTTTACTGTTATCTCAAATATCAACTAAACTATACTCAAATGATTGAAAATGATTATTACAAGACTATAATTTTTTACAAAAAAATTGAAATTAATTAATTCATCAATAAATACATTATTTTTTCAATACTATTCATTTGCAATTAAATCAATAATTTTTAATTTTAATCAATTGTAAAATTTTATTAGTAATTGTAATGAATAATTAGTTACAAATTATTCTAACATTAATTTTTTACAAATGTTACTATTATCTTTCAATATTAAAAAGCTATTTTAATCCAAAAAGTTAGATTGCTCATTGGCCACTTTGCTTCCCTCCACTTAAAAAGCTAAATAATTCTAGTATTATTTAGCCCTAATATTGTCGTATGTAGTTTTCTCCTTTCAAAGATTCAACAGCCAAAGAAAAACGTATGTACAGCCAGGTGCGTAGCTGAATAATTCTGCTCATGGCTGTGTTTGTTTAAAGAAAAGCAAGTTTCAGAAAATAATTTTTTTCTCATTTTTCAATATTTATTTTATATTTTAAAAAAAATTATCAACGAAAAATAATTTTCAGTCAATGAAAATGATGAAATATTTTTAGGAAAATGTTTTTTGAGTTTCAAAAGAGTAAAACATTTTTCTCCTCAAGAGTTGTCTCGGCTCGTGTTACTTACCTCTCTCTCAATATATTTTAACAATTTTTTCTCTATCGTTTTTTATTTAAAATATATCATATTAATTTTTAATTATTCCTTATCAATTATTATTAATTATTTTTTCTCTATTTTTACTAATATTTGATTTTTTTTATTTATAGATACATTAAATATTCTTAAAAACTGTTTTTACACCTTAAAATTATTTTTATAATAAATATTTCAATAATTTATCTCTATTGTTTTACTATTATCTCAAATATCAACTAAACTATACTTAAATGATTGAAAATGATTATTACAAGACTATAATTTTTTATAAAAAAAAATTAAAATTAATTAATTCATCAATAAATATGTTATTTTTTCAATACTATTCATTTGCAATTAAATCAATAATTTATAATTTCAATCAATTATAAAATTTTATTGGTAATTGTAATGAATAATTAGTTACAAATTATTACAATATTAATCTTTTGAGATCAAATGAATAATTATCTATAAATGATAATTAATAATTTATAAAAATATTTTTCAGATTAAATTATCAGTTTAATTTCTTAAAAAAAAAGAATTCACTAGATCATCTTCCCATGCATATACACACACGATAAGTTTACCAGTAATCTTTCTGGAGATGCCAAGGAAGATGCTACCACGAAGATGCTATAGAAGAAGATAGCCTTGAATTGATGAAAATTACAAGTTTAGAACAAGATTTTAACTTTAGGCCATGAATAGAAAACAGACGGGAGAAACATTCACTAGATGGCATGGGAGATCTCTCACAGATCCAAACAATAAAACCAAACCCCCAATAAATAAATAAATAAGTAAGTAAGTAAAAAATCTAAAAATGAAAATAAAACTTAAAGAAATATTAGACTTCTTCGTATTCCTATCGCTATCAGCTACAAGACCTTCATATGAGTAAATAATATTTGCGTTTCCTTTTTACGAGGCATGGGGTGAGAAAAATTCGGTTTTAACCAAAAAAGCAAACCGAACCTAAATATCGATTTCGGTTCAGTTTTTATAGTAATATTTTTTTTAAAAAAAAAACACCAACCAGTTAGTCAGCCGCCTTCACTCACCAGTCACCACTCCACACTCCACTCTCCACAACAGCCACCCACAACCCTCTGACCCCTCTTTTTCTCCCACAGTGTCATCTTCTCCAACGTTTCGTTCCCTTCATCTTTGGGTCTCTCACAGACTCTCTCTGCCAGAAATAGAGCAACGCTCCGCCGGCCACCAAACACCAACTACCAGCCACAGCCCACTTCCTTCATCTCCATTCAAGGTAAGAGAAAGAAATTTGTGTTTTATGTATAACAATTATTCTTGGTCTGAATTTGTTCTTGAGGAATAATGGTCCATGGCATTTGTCATGTGTTTGGTAGATGGATTCAATCTCACATTAGATAGTATCATAGTACTCCCACATTTGTCATCTATCGACCATCAATGCTTATTTTCATTACTAGACGAGTAATCGCACAATTTGAAAACTTGGGAATTTAGGATATAATTTTGAGATTGAATTTTGGGAAATCAGTGTGTGAACAAGCCATTAATTGGATCTAGATGACAAATTGCGGTAAAATAAAGGGAGTAAGATGGATAAGCCATTAATTTTGAGATTGAATTTTGGGAAATCAGTGTGTGAATTTCTTGTTTCCTGTCAATGCCTGCTTTCGTTGATGGCTTGAGAAGTGGGAGTACGAGAGCAGTGTCTGTAATGTGTTTTTGTAGTGGTAAGGAGTGTAGTTTTGATGGCCTTTTAGGGATGGTGGACTGGAGACTGGAGACGATGCACCTATCTTTGCTGTTTAGGATGGAAGTAAATGAGTGTAGACTTGTCGTTACAGCCTCCTTTGTACAGATGTTTTGAAGGAAAAAGGTATGATTCACCTATCTTTGCTGGGTAGGATGGAAGTAAATGAGTGTAGACTTCTAGTCATCGATTGATTCTGCAAACTTAAATAAACCCACCAAAACAAGAGTTAATGTGAACTGCAAAGTGTTTTTGTGGATCCTAAGTTTACCAAATTTCCCTAACAGCTCCACCAATACCACTTGATGACTTGAGGTTATGCAACAAATACTGTAAGCAGACCTAATATTTTGCAGTTGACTGTACAAATGACAAAGCATGCAATATGTGCCACATGAAGAAAACATACAACAGTAGTACTTGTAAAGTGTAATTTGGAGCTCAAACTTCCAATATTGTTAATTTGAATGTAATGATCATGGTGAGAGAAAACACTGTCCATGCTCCATAGTGGCAACTACGTACAAGGCAGCTCTTCCAAACTTCTTGTTGCGTGCACTCTCATTTTTCATATTCTCTCGTTTGAGTAAAAATCCCATAGTCATAGCCGCCGCCGCCCGCGCCCCCCCCCCCCCCCCAAAAAAAAAAAAAAAATTCCATTATTCATCTTGATCACCAAAAAACTTATGGACCGGAAGATTTCTTATCCTAGCAGATTTCCCTGCTTGGGCCATACTCTATCATTCAATTATTAATAATCTTTCCTCCCATCCCTATTTATATCCAAGTTGTGCACTTCATTCTTCATTGCCTAAAACCCATAAACCTTCTCCTTTCTTCCTCAACTCACTCTACTAAAATGGCTTCCATTATTCTCTTAACCCTCATGTCTCTCAACCTCATTGAGCTCATGCCATACCAAGCCATTGCGGATCCCACTGATGGGTTCACTTCCCTTCCGTTGGGTTCATCAAACTTTATCATCCATAAGCCCTAATGTGCTAGTTTTGTTTAAATAGGGAATGCCATTGCCATTTTCCAAGACTTGAAAGCATATGTAATCTATCTATGCCAAATGAATTGTATTTTGATGATGTGTATTTTTTATTTGAGTTAATGGATTGTATTTTGATGTGTTTTTTAATATTGTAAAACCTAATGATAAATGGGAGAAAGCACAAGAACAAACGGAATTTCTGCATTTACATAAGCCCCCCAAGCAGAATGAGCTTACCGTTTGGCCAATACCTAGCTTACCAGATGAACATTACATGATCCATAGCTAAGAACACATGTTAAAGAACATTTAATATAACTATTTGGAAATTTCAATTAACATAAAAAGTAGAGTAAATTATAAATTAGTCCTTTTTATTTTGAGAAATAAAATAATTAGTTTTTTTTTTGTTTCAAAAACTAATTATTTAATTTTTATATTTTTTCTGTAACTTGATCTTTTTTACTCTTTTTTAATTTTTTAATTTTTTTGTTTGAAAAAATAAAAAAAATATGAAAATATTGATGAAAAATGTGACATTTTGTAAAATAAAGTAATATTAAATTGCATGATTGATATTGATTGAGAGATTAAATATTTAGTTTTTGAAACAAGAAAAATTAACTGATTTTTTTTTCAAAAATAAAGGGACTACTTTATAATTTACTTTAAAACTTGTCACTAATCATGGTCAAATTACAATTCAAATTGTACACCAATTTATATCTATCAATAAGGCTCATTTTTGACACCTTTGTCAAAGCTACGAAAACAAAAATGACAGAAAAATATTATTTAGAAAGATATAGAGTTAATTGTATTGAGTTTGTCAAATTGAAGAAGAAGAGTGGTCGGGATATTTTTGGAATTTAAGTATATTTGGTTATTAAATGTAGAATTTTGATGGTTGTTTTCTGGAGTAGAATTTGTTTAGGCAAAGTCAATTAATTAGTGCAATGGAAATTTATTACTTTCATTCCCTGTCTCAAGTTTTGCCAGCTTTAAATCCATTCTTACCCAGTTTTATGCAGATCATATATGTCTGGACCAGACGATATATATATATATTTTTTTTTTGGTTATTGTTTTGGATATGATCTGGAAGCTACTCTTAAGACAGCTTTAAATTCTTTCTTTGTTAAATACCTAAAATACATTTGAAAAATGTTTTATTGTTTTATTAGAAAATACTTTACAGGAAGTTTTGTAACTTTTTTAATGATTTTTATAAAATATTTTTTTAGATTTTTTAATTGAAGATTTATTATTGTAACATTTTATTCTTGTTAATTGCTATAATTCTCAGAAAACGTTTAAGACACCTCATTATGCTGATGATAATTGAACTTTTTATTTTAGAAAACAAGATTTGCAAATATGAAGAATTATATTTTCTATTTTATTGTCATCATTTGAATTGAATATATTCAAGATTCACAATAATGGTAATATAGAGAAAGTATATTACAATTATAAACTATTTTACAAGTGATAGAAATTGGATATTAAAAAAATATATATATTATGAAAGAGTTTTTTTAAAAGAAAACTAAAAAATAGAAAAGAAAAAAAGGCACTTGATTGATAAATTTGTAAGCATATGAAAAGTATAGGTACCATAATTAAATCTAAACTTTTTTAAAAGATAAAATATAAAAGTAAACTTATTCATCTTAAAAAATTAGCGTAGAACTTATTTTGTAATTTACATTTAAAAAACAAATTTCTATTTACCTTTTACATTCATTTTAGAACATGTACATAATAACATTGCATTACGTGCGCGCGCACGCCAAAAAAAAAAAAAAAAAAAAAACAGTGATTTTTATGCAACAGATTCAAAATGAGATAATTAAATTATTAATACATCAATTTTACAACTTTTCTCAAATGAGTATATATATTTTAACTTTTTTCGTTGATTATACTGAATTTTTCAAAATTTTAAATCAACCACTTCTGTTTAATTTCTATCAATTATTTTGTTATTTGATAATGTATTTTTTTATCTTAACTTCTCGTTAGTACACTAAATTTTTTTTTTTTTTTATCTCAATGGAATACATTGATTTTGATCTTTCTCATTTTGGTTCACTGACTTTTTTATTATACTAGTTAAGTACTTTCATCAATTTTTTATTCTTAATGTGGGTTTTATTTAGTATAACTACCCTCCAAAATGATATTATATTCAATAAATAAAAATATTTTAAATAAAATAAATTCTTTTAAAAAACTCTTTTAATTCTTCATACACAAACCCGTTCTCTCTCTCTCAACAAACTCTAAAATCCCTAATTTCAACATTCTTCTAAATTTTCATCCCAAATCTTCTCTAAAAACTCCCAATTCAATGACATATTTTCGCTCTTCAATCAAATGCAACAAAGCGATCATGCATTACTTGATAAATAAACTTATCAAACGCTTGTTGAGGCTTGTTCTAACGAATTGAAATTGAAAGAAGGTGAAATTATTCATGGATAGGCAATCATGTTCTAATTTCAATATTTTAATTAAAATTATTATATTTTTTTATTTTAATATCAATCCATAAAGAAGAATGATTATGTTTTTTTAAACAGAAAATTAAAAAAAAAACATTTAAAAAATTAATTAAATAAAACATTGTAATTAAAAAAATTTAAAATTTTAAAATGATTTCTTTTACTGGATCTGCAGCGTAACGAGTGCAAGTGACTAGTTTCTTCCTAAACAAGCTTTATTCTACCCTAATTTCACAAACAATAAACCCTAGCTCACCTCAAATCCTTTGCAGAACAGAAATCTCAAATCTGTCCTACTTCAAGTTCTTATTATGTGTTTATTAAGAGAACTAATAGTTAGTTTGATAGCAGTTAAGTTCACATGAGTGAACTTGCGTTTGTATAAGATCAAATTCTATTCATTCTGGAGCATTGTTCTATTCTTTAATAAAGTTTCTATACAAGAACCCATAAATAAACAAATTCAACTATTCTCAAGCAGAGATAGACTATCAGACAAGAACCCGTAAATAACAATCAAATTCACTGGGAAACGGAGCTTCAAGACTCGAAAATAGAAATTCAAAAGCGAAAAAAAAAAAAAAAAACTTCGGTACTTCACTGAATCAAAAATTTTCAGCCGCACTTGCTATTGATGGAAACATTTTTTCTAAAATAAAAAGATAAAAAAGATATTTTTTTAGGCTTTGATGGAAACATTTTCTCTTGATATTTTTTTTCTTTAAAAAGATAAAAAATGGCTTTGATGGAAACATTTTTTCTCTCATATAGAGATCCAACACTTGCTATTCATGAAACCGAACCTGCAAGAGAGTTTTTTGAATCATGGCAACAAAGTGTAGCAATGACTCTACCAAAATAAGGAGGAGAAAAAAACAAACAATCAACGACTGGAGCATTAAATGCTATGTCTTAAAAGAAAATGAAATGACAGAAAAAGGCCCAAGAAGAAATTTTAAAAGGGAGTCAATCGAGGAAAAGCATGGAAATTTCCAAATCCACTAAGTAGCAAAAAGAAATTAACAAAAAGCTAGAGGGCGACAATCGGACGGCTGCGGGAAGGGCACACCATTGATGGATGGATAAGGTATTTGCTTAAGGAGCATGCTGACGAAGGTTCCCCCTTCTACTTGCCTTCCGTTCTCGCCTTTACGCCTCATACCATCCATCCGTGTTGCAAACTATATTCCTAGAACGCTCGAAATTATGGTGGTAAGTTTTATTTTCCTTTTTAGGCTTTTGATTTATTTAATTTGTTATTTTGGGGTTTGGTTTTGTTTGTTTGGATCCGTAGAATTTATCCCACTTACCCCCTTATAAAAATGTAAAGAAAGAGACCGAGTGGTTCTTGTTGATTATCCTAATTCCTTCTCTGCTCTCTCATCTCACTTAGCAATATCATCTTTTTCTTTGTATCTATACAAGAAATCTCAACTATTCTCAAGCAGAAATAGACTATCAGATAAGAATCAAAAATAGAAATTCAAAAGCAAAAAACTTGCACAAATACCCAAGCATTAATCCCAATTTAATTAGCAAACTCTGGATTCTTTTGAGCTACACCCCAAATCCCCAATTCCCTGAGCCATAGCTCTGTTCATAGCTCAGATCTGCCCATACAAGAAATCTCAACTATTCTCAAGCAGAAATAGACTAGCAGACAAGAACCCACAAATAGCAAACAAATTTACTTAGAAATGGAGCTTCATGACTCGAAAATGGAAATTCAAAAGCAAAAAACTTACTTGTGAGGTTGTTGGAATAGACCAATCAAATTCTTTCTCACGATCGCTTAACTGAAGCAGCAGCATCACCAGTCTTGGAGTCAACTTTTATAAGCAGGCTACTTTTATGTTTTCCTCCTTTTCTTTCCTTACTTACTTGTAGTGTAGGGGTTCAGTTTGCAATGGTATTTCTGTAATTAAAAGTAAACCTTTTTTATTATTATTATTATTTAACTATATTAATTAAAACTGGCCTTCCGACCCCGAAACTGTCTTCTGAGCTTAGGGTTCTTTTCATCCCCTTTTCCTTGCGGCAGCCCGAAACATTAAGACACGATAAGTTCTAGACTTTAATTATGGCTGCCTTCACATCCCTC